TTTTTTTTTTTTTTTTTTTTTTTTTTTTATAACTAACTGTAATACAAACTACAATAAAGTCACAAACTCAGATGGTTACTGAACAGCCTCCCAACAGTTTTTTCAAACATGTTAACCCAATGACAACTCACCATAAACTTGGTTTCACCCTTTGACAGAGTATCTGTAATAAAATGGACCTTTTGTAACTGCTCCACGACACGATGTAACAGCTTTGGCTGTAGAAACATAATCAGAGAATTAAAAAAAAAAAAAAAAAAAGAAAATTTACCTTGCTATGGCAAAAAAAAAAGTAAATAAAGTAAAAACAGAATCAAAAACTGTGGAAGTGAGGGGGGAGTGCTGGGGGTTGAACCCAAGGCCTTATGTTCTACCAAAGTCCCAGCCCTAAAAAAATAATTTTAACATGAGTTTTCAGATTTTCTAGAGAGATCTTTTATGTTGATTTTTTTTTTTTTTTTTTGGCTTTTGGTTTTTTTCTTTCTCATTCTGGGTATTGAGCTTATGGCCTCTTTTGTTCTTTTTAATGTTCTTAGTAAGTACCTTTCCTGTCTAACAGAAAATTTATCTTATCAAATGAAATATGTTTTTAGAAACAAGTTTTCACCAATCTCATGATATTCTAGAACAAATATAATTTGTGTTATTATTCTATTAAAGCAAAGAGCTAGCTTTGCTTCACTGTTAACGGCACATATATCCCAAAATCAGTAACGGTTTTGCCTTCATGAGTTTTCTAATAAAAATAAAGTTTCTCAGGGGGGAAAAAAGTAGAGTTTCTCAATACTTTATTTAACAGAAAAATATTCCCTTAATAAAAATCTGAATACCACACTGACTATTTCTGAAATAGCTATGGTAAACAGTACAAAATCATGAAAATGTTTTATTAAATTATATGTCTTTCAAATGTTAGATTGTCTTCCCAATTCTTCCATGAAAAATCATATATATCCCTTTCCAGAATTCAGTCAGAACAATGCCTTTTCAAAATGATGAAAATAAACATTACTGTGAAAATGTCCAAGTATCATTTAGAAAATAGTATTCACTGCTGTGTTAAAACTTATTACATTCAAGTATAAACTCTGAGGTACCTGTTTGCTTAATTCTGAAGTGAAGTTTGGATGGGTCAGAAGAACATCCATGTCACCACTGGATTCTGCACCTATGACACCAAAGAACATGCATGGAGCTCTCTGTGTAAATTCATCAAAAACGTCAACCCTGAGCTACATGGAGGGTGCAGACAGAGCCTTACTCCTTACAGCCTTCTACTGCACTGTGCTTCATATTCAGAATTACTTCAAATTTTCAATTTTCTCTTATGAAGGCATATTGATAGACACCACAATCTGAACAATAACAGTAATTAACATCAGATAGAAAATGAATATGATTTATTAATCTAATGTGTTAAAATGTACCTAATCACTCAATAATAAAAACAACAGTTAGAAACAGCTTTAAAATACATCTATGAGGGCTGGGAATTAAGCTCAGTGGTGCTGCACCTGCCTTGCAAGCACAGGTCTTGAGTTCAATCCCCAGTACCAGGAAAAAGAAAAAATACATCTATGAATGAGATACCTAAAAATCTTAATATGCTGTACCTCTAAAAAAGTTCATCATAAAGCTTATTTTAATTCTTATGACTGAATTCATTTAGTAAATATAGGTAAAAGTTATTATACTGGTGTCATAAAGTGGATAGGAACATAGCACTTTAAAATGACTTACACTTTAGTTTTGCTCTTACAACCATGTAACTTCAGCAAGTTATACACAGGTGTATTTCAACCTTACTATATATTATAAAATTTTGCCTCCACTTAAGTTTTTTTTCACTTTAAACTGCCTCACCCCAGTACTGTAAATACTCTACATTCCTCTAAACTACAGTTTCCGGGTTCATAAAACTACTCAAAACTATATCTGGCTATTGTGGAACTAAACAAGAGCATATGTGAAAGCATCTAGCACAGCACCTGGTACACAGCATAAACTGTTTCCTCTTCACGTTGATCAGTGCACTATTTATGAAAGACACTTAAGGCGGCCACAGTTTTTGGAGATGACCACTCTACACATCAACAATCTTTAACAGTTATAGTCGTCTGCCATGTCTTCAGAAGATACCAAGACTCCCAGCACAGGCCTGAAACCACAGACAGTACCAAGCCTTCCACTTAGTGCATTTGTCATCCTAACTGAGCACTTCATCACACTGTGGCTATAGTTTTTCCAATTTGAGGTGTAACAACAAAACTGGCATGGATTTCTCTGTTCTTCACAATTTCCCAGACAGATTTGTTCCTACCATAGATCTTAGCAACATGAGCATATAGTAGGGTTTTTCCTTTCTTTATTAGCTCAAGAACTTTTCCCCCTTTTGACTTAAAGGAAGCACTTTATTTATTAAAAAAAAATTTTTTTTGTGTGGTACTACTAGGGCCTTGTGCATGCCAGCCAAGTACTCTACCACTGAGCTACGTCCCAAGCCAGGAAGCACTTTAAGGCTTGTTTGTTATCTCCAAGTTGCAAGCATGCCATTGTTGTGACCTAGGGCCATTATCAAATACAATAAGGGTTACTTGAGCACAAGCACTGTGGACTACTAAACCCTAGACACCTGACCCTAGTCCCCAAGTCAGGTGCTAAACAGCCAGCAGGAGGCAGCATATCCAGGTCAGAGGTTCTGGGCAAAGGGAGCATTTATTCCCATCAGGAATGTAGGAGATTTCAGCATGCTACTCAGAACACCCTGTAATTTAAAACTTGAGTTGTTCATTCCTAGAATTTCCCATTTAATATGTTCAGACTGGTTAATTTTGGTAACTGAAACTTCAGAAAGTAAAACTATGAATAAGTGGTGGGCTACTGTATTTAACAATATGAAGACAAGACTGAATGTATACTGATCCCTGGACATCTACGGAAGCTATTTTCACAAAGAAAATTCTACTGTCTTTTCTTTTTTTCTTTCTCCTAAAAGCTGAATGTCTTTTTATCATTCACCACCCACCTACCACCAAAAATGTTTCATTTTTAAAAACAATAAACTGTATTAGCCAAAAAGAGAGCAAAAGAAAACAATCCACAGGTCCATTATTGAGGGACAGTGTAAAGTGTGGTACACCCACACATTCAAATGCTACACAGCGAAACAGAAGAATAAAGATGCTCCTGTACACTGATAGGGAAAGATCTCCAGAACATATTTTCAAGTGAAAAAGTAGCAGAGGGCACTGTACACACACTATGTTATATTTCTGGTGAACAAAGGGAAGGGGAGGGGCAAGCCAAGGATGCATACTCATGTTTAGTTGATCTATCCACGCAGATACACTGAATATACAAGAAAGTGGCTGTTAATGTGGGACACTGGCAGCAGGGAGAGAAGGGTCAACAGGGTGAGACTTTGCAGTACATACTTTTTTATATATTGAAGCACACAGCCATATAACATGCTCAATAATAAAAATAAAATAGAACTATATAAATCCAGGAAGCTTGTCATATCCAGTAAAGCAGGCAGTTGGCTTGCTGAATATCAAACTTAACATTTTGCAAATATATATTTCAAGTTCCCACTTAACAAGATTCTTATTTAGTACGTTTATAGCTGGGCACAACTTATGCATATATTTTTAAGTTTCCCAGGTGTTTCTGATGCAGACATTATTGAATAACTAGTTAATACCAATCCTCTCATTTTGCAAATATGAAAACTATGATCAGGCAAGACAGATTTCACTAAAATCAAACAATGGTGAGTAGTTAACTCTGGCCTCAGAACCAGGTCTTTTTATCCAATCCAAAGTTCTCTTATTGGCAACTATAGATTTCATTATTTTCTTCTCAAATCTAAATTCTCATAGCAGCTACGTAGAGTTTTTCAAATAGCCCATTACCTACTTCCCAGGAAAACTCTATTATGGCCATAGATGCAGTTCACCTATCTACTGTATTTTTAAATTTTTTAAATAAAAATTTTGTATCTCAATCTTTTTCATTTCCCCTACTTGGGATTGAACCAGGGCCTTGTGCATGGTGGTTAAGCACTTTCAACACTGAGCTACATACCCATAGCCCTACAAGTTAATATTTTAAAACTTTTTTAGCCTTTCCCAATTTTAAGGCAGTAAGAGTCAGGCCTGCATGACTCACTTTGCTTGGACTCACATGGGGATCTAGCTGAAAAAACTGGTGAGTTTAAGAACGGGTTCTGAGGGCCAGGGATTTAGCTCAGTGGTTCTGCCTCCTGCGAGTTCTATCCCTGGTACCTAAATAAAGAATGGGTTCTGAACAATTCATGGAAGAATTTGGTGATCACTGTCCAAGAAGGTTGGTACAGCATCATGAGTATAATATGCAAAGCAAAACAGTGACATTACACAGACCATTTGTTTATATCAAAATAATAAACAAGAGTAAATGAATCCCATGACACAGGACCAGCCGGGCGTGGTGGTGCACACCTGTAATCCCAGTACTCGGGAGGCTGAGGCAGGAGGATCACTGTGAGTTCAAGACCAGCCTGGGCTGCATAGTGAGTTCCAGGTCAGTTTCAACTACATAGTGAGATCCTGTCTCAAACAAACAAACAAACAGACAAGCAAAAACCATGACACAGGACCTCAAACACCCCTAGTTGTTGGGTGTATGGTGCACATCTGGGATGGCTGAGGCAGAAAGATCCCCTGGACCAGCCTGGGCTGCAGTGATTTCAAGGCCACAGTGAACTACACAGTGAAACACTATCTCAAAATACCTAAACATGCTTAGTCATCCCCCGTTTGTTCACGCACACATTCAATGAGTGTTTTATTAAGTACCTAGGATGCACCAGGTGGCACTGTTCTATTCGTGAAGATGAAGGCACATGTCTCACCTGCGCAGGGCTCTGAGTGTCACCAAGCCAAGATGTGAACAGAGTGACAGTGCACCCCAAGCAGTGCTGGTGGACACACACAGCATGGACTCCTGCCGTGGGGTCCTGGGGAAGCTCAGTGGGCTCCTCTTCTGCTTCACAACATGGATCGGTCCTGGTCTCTCAGTCCCAGTGATGCAATGACCCACAGTGTGAGAACAGTCACAGCAGCCTGGAAATGGTTACTCCTACAACCTTGCAGGAATACAGGAGTCCTGGCAGAGGTAGCTGCAACTGGCAGCAGCCCAGCCCCATCCCTCACTCAATCCTCTGAGTTCAGGGACCACCTCATATTACTCGCCAGATAAAGAGCGCTCCAGTCACCACCCCTCCTGCCACCATTTCCTCCTGTAGGGAGACGTGTTGTCCATCATCCTTGGCAATTCAGGCAGAGAGGTGGCATCTGGGGGGGCTGGTGACCAGAGGGCCTGAATCCTACTTCCCACTGTGTTGAGGACATCTGAACGTAGGCATTCAGAGGCCAGGTGTGGTGGTGGATACCTGTAATCCCAGCAAAGAGGCTAAAGCAGGAGAATTGCTGCAATTCTGAGGCCAGCGTAGGCTACATAGTGAGACCCTGTCTCAAAAAACAAGAGGATCCCACAAACAGTACTCATGCTCAGAAGTGCCCCTCTCCTTCCTCTCTGTCTCTGCAAAGTGCACTCCCCACATTTGCTGGCATGGATAAATTCCAGATGAGGGCCACAGCTCTGAGCTTGGACTCTACATCAAGTTATGCAGTCATAACAAAGGGCATTATATGACTCCTAATTGGCCTTGCTGAATCCTTCTCACCTGGAATTACGTCCTCTATGGCTGTAGGCCAAACCCCAAAGCTCCAGCAATCCATCTTTAGTTGCTTAGTTAATGTGCATAATGTGTCAGCCTTGTGACAGAAGGAGTTTGCTCAGTTCAGCTAAAAATCAGGTACCAAGGATTTAGCTCAGTGGTTCTGCCACCTGCCTCGCAAGCACAGGGACCCGAGTTCAAATCCCACTACCCCCTCCAAAATCAGAGTATATTAGTTTTAATATATTAACTAAATCTTTAAGATTTGCGTCTATGATTATTATAAATTTAATCTTATAAATGCTCCTATGATAAAAAAAAAAGTATATGGCCAGGCATGGTGGTGCACATCTGTCATTCCAGCACTTGGGAGGGTGAGGCAGGAGGATCACTACCAGTTCCAGGTCACCCTAGGCTACACAGTGAGTCTAAAGTCAGCCTGAAACAGTTCACGAGGCCCTATCTCAACAAACAAAATTACACAATTCATCCCCTGAAGATGAAATTTTAAAATGACTATACCCTGATTTTACTTTTTAATAAATGTATTAAACTTAAATTTTGTATTTAGAGTATTTCCACAGATCACTCACAAAAACCCAAAAATAAACAAAGTGCTCCCCCAAGCCCCCCAGAATCTGTACAAAAATAGAAGCTCTTCATTTTCTGTATCACCTTATCTTTTTGTGTATATCAATTTGTTAATATAAAAAAAGTGTCTGCTTAGGAAAGTATAAAAACACTGCTTCAATGTCACACGCCCCAGCACATCCAATCTGGGCTGCACCGACACCTGTCCCTCCTGTGCCACTTCCAGGAACCGTCTGCGACTACGATGAGTGAGATTCAACGCTCCCATCTTCAGATGTCCACGTTGGTTTCTATGGATACCCTCAGGGTCACACTCTGAAAATCCTGGACGAACGTCAGGAAGTAGAAAACGAAACCAAAGGCTGCAGTCCACTCACAGATGGCGCTGACTAGGTGATACACACAATCCTTTTCTCTTGGATTCCGCTTCAGCTTGGTGATGGAAATCAGGGAGGCACAGGCGATCATGGGGAGGACAGCTGCGCAGGACACCACAGAGATGGCCATCCGCACACGGCACGTGGACAGGCTGTTCCACTGGGGACATTGCTTGTAGGAGATGACGGACTGCAGGAGGATATACATTACCCCGCACACAAAAGCCAGCAGGGCACCACCATCATGGACCACCGGCATGGTCAGCTCTTGGAAACTGGCCACAATGCCCATCCCGATGCAGCCCACTAGGCCAAGGACTAGTGACACCAAGTTGAGGACGGGTGTGCTGAAGTAGCTGGTTTCATTCTGCTTCTCCAGGATTTTATATCTCAGGTAAATTGTGGCCGTGCCAAGAAACGCAGAGAAGTTTATCATGAATCCAAAAATACTACTCTCTGGAGGGGTTGTTCCTGTATCGCTGATATGGGGCAGGAAAGGGTTCACGTGCCCGGAGAGCACAGCTACCATGTAGGAGATAATGACTGCGGCCGATGACCAGGTCACCAACAAGAAGGAGACGAAGGCCATGCCCCGCAGGAAGCACCACATGGTGGGGTGCGGTCTCTGTGGACAGGTGGAGGCAGCAGCCTGAAGCAGGACAGGGTAGGAACAGTATTGCAGGGACCAGGGGGTGGGGACCAGGCGACGGGTGGGGCAGGCTGTTGCCACCCCATGAAGTCACAAAGTGAGGTGCGGGACACCAATGGGCCATAGGGCCCTGGCCTGAACAGTTTTTCTGAGTCATTATTCTTTAGATCTATTATAGAAATTGTAGGGGGGAAAAAACCTATCCACAGTTTTACTACCATCTAGTCAAAGGCAATCATTATTAGCATGTTAATATAGTTAAAGTCATTAGGTCAATTTTATGAAATTTAGACATTAAAATATCATCAAATAATAAAGTTAGGATGTTTCCTCTATTTATACGCAGTCCCATTTATGAACAAATCAACTTGGCTAATACGGTACCCTAGTATGTCTGAAGTAAGACAACGTATCTTTTAACCCAAATTATCCATATCACTCCGCAACTGTAACATCAAGCACGAATACACCAGGATTAGGAAGTATATTACCTCTTCTGAAACTGCCACAGACTGTAGCAATGTATTCAGAATCCAGTTTATTAACTTCACTTAGTACAATAGCCTAATAGAAAAAAAATTAAGTCAGTATTCCAAAAATGGGTTTCCACAGTGACATTCTCAATACCAATCAAAGAACACAATTTAGTACACTCTTACTTGCATTTGTAACATCTCCTCACGAGGGATTCTTTTTTCAAAGTCCTCAAAGTATCTATAAGGGCAAAAGATTTTTGAAAATTTAAATATCTTTAAAAATTAAACTGCCTACATACTAAGTAACCTTATACCAACAGATCATCCTCATAATTCTCACAAATCAAGTATAGAATACATAGAGAAGGCAGCAATAAAACTGGGGCAGGGTGTCTATTCTTGAAGCTAATTCTTGGTAATATTTCCAAGACTCCATCTAAACTTGGTGGCAGGTTCACATGATGGGGGAAATAGGTATATTTAAATGAGTACATGTTTTCAAATTAGACTGCTCTCTATTAGTAAGTCAAGGGATTATAGTTTGTTGCTCATGAATTTGCAAAAAAACTACAGAAGAAATGCTACTGTAACATTGCACAGTAGCATGACTAGAGATAAAAATAACAGTTTGTGCCAAAAAGCTAGAAGAAAGGACTTTGAACATTTCACCACAAAGAAATGGTATCAAGAGGGCAGGGACAAGGGGAAAAAATGAGAACCAAGACCTGTTATGTAAAGAAAGGTACACGATCCCAATAATGAATGTAATTGTACTGTATGCCTAAAATGTACCAATAAACACAATTAAAAAAATAAAGAAAGAAATGGTATCAAGGAGCTATGTTACCTTCCTTTAAATATTATAAAATGTATAATATATCAAAACATCACATCACACCTCACAAATACAATTTTGTTATGTACCAGTAAAAATTAATCTAAATTAACACAAAAACTGCAAAATTATATTTTAAAATATTATCCTAATAACATGGATGAACTCAGATAATAATATGCTAAGTAAAAGACTCTAGTCACAAAAAAAGTGTATTGACCACAGTGGACTGCATTTATACAACACATCCAGAATAGGACATCTACAGGACAGATGATGAGTGGCTGATTGTCTAGGGCTGAGCAGGGTGAGGGCAGTGTGCATGGGATGAATAGGGAATGACTGCTAAGGGGCACGGGTTTTTTGCGAGGATAATAAAAATATCCTGAAACTGGCTGTAACAATGGTTGCACAACTCTATGGACATAGCAAAAATCACTAAACTCTATAGTTTGAATGGCTGAACTGCATATAACTATCTCAAGGCCGTTAAAAGATATCTTAGGTTGAAATAATGTCTAAGCAAAGTCTAAAAATGATGTGCCTGTTCAAAACCAATTTTCATGAAGACCTCATTTCCTATGGATATGCAAAGAAAGTGAGAGCCACACCATCCTGCTGTTACTGGCACTACTCTTAGCATAGTAATATAAGTTTAAAAATATTTTGGTAAGGCATTAGCGGAAAAGTTCAGAAGGTTATGGGGACTGAAGCACCAACCATTGGGACATGTAACACTTAATCACTATCATCATAATCCACACCTAGCACACAAAATTTACTGGTACTGATACAAAAACATGCTCATTAGTTTTTGTTATGCTGTTACTTATGCGTTTGTGGTTTCTTTTCTTTTTAAAAAATTTAAATTTTCATGTTTGATGTTCTCAGGAAGATTATAAACCTCTTAAAAGATACACTGGATATCTAATACCCTTATCACAGACAAACACAAAGTAAACACCCACCGTTTGCCTGATGTACTTGGTTCTACTTATTTTAGGAAAAAGCTCCCTGCTAAAGTCAAGAGCATGAGGGAAATCCTCAAAAACAAGTAAACAAACCAGACAACAATTACAAAATGTGTGAACTTGGGCAATAAAGTCTATAAGAGTCTGCAATAAATTTAGCATTTCTAAACTAAAAAATGATTATATATTTAGCTAAGTGTAAAGAATACTATATAAAGAATGTTTATAAAAATCTTTACTTTTACTTCTCAAGTAACAAAAGAAAATGTGCTATCTTACTTTAGGCCAATTCGCTGATGATGGTTCAATTTATCTTCATTTTTCCTGAGATCTGAATAAAAGATAAAACTTAGTGTTAAATATTTTTTTGGAAAAACTGAATGCCCACAGCCCTTTTATTTAATTTATTTAAAAAAAATTTTTTTCAGTACCAGGGATTGAACTTGGGACCTTGCACTAGTGAGGCAGGCGTGGCACAACTGAGTCAAATCCCTAGCCCTCCATAGCCCTTTTACAAAGAATTACTCAGGTGAAATGATTTTGGAAACAGAGAAAGAATTTCAGACATTAAAAACTATATAAAATGACCTTACAAATCAAGGTAAAACTAACAGCTGATTTCATAATCATTTTTATTTACTGAATCAAAATATCAGTTGAGTCACATGAAATAGTAGATAAAATATACAAGGAATCATATCAAATGTTGCTGGTGATAGCAAAAAGCCATCTAGAAGAACCATCGCTATTTAATTTATTGTTCATAGCAGTAGTAGTAACCACAACTTCAGAACACTATGATTAACTGCGTTCATTCACATTGTATTATCTTCATTTTTTAATCTGCAAAAGCGGTCATAACATGTGTCTCAATACTAAAAATAAGTTAGTTCTATTGGGTATTCTTCCTTTTCTAGGCCTAAGTACAGTAGTGAGCTTTGTTTAAAGAAACCAGAAGTGTGCTTTGAAAGCAGCTTCTACAAGTAATCTTATATTCACATATGCATGGGTTCCCCCTGGATATATAAAATATAGTCATCTTCATGACACACACTGCATTTAATATCTCCCATAGAAAACACCTATGTCTGAAAATGAACTGGAAATACTGAGTTTATCATATAGATACTAAATTATATTACTTGCCTGAATTATGAAATATAAGCACCAGAAGAGTAGCTCCTTGATACTACCACAAATGTTGATAGGCCCACAAATTGCTGACCCCTTTAGACAATCGTCCATAAGATGAACTGTATACATCACAAGGGAGAAAAACATATCCCCTCTGAGACACACAGATAGAATTCAACTAACTCGTCGTGTGCCTCACACAAATTCTTAGCTTAGTAATTTCACCAAGGAATAGTGTCTCAGAGGAGTCAGTTATAATTTTTATGCTATTCATCAAGCACTCTGCTAAGTGCTTGATTACTACATTAAGTCATATGAGGTAGAAATACCCACTTGGGTCAGTCTTCAAAACCTGTTTATCTAACACTGAAGCTGCTTGTAAGTAGCTGAACCTACAAACACTAAATCCTACATGCTGCAGACGTTAACGAATCCGCACAGACAGCACATGCCCTTCCTTAGGAAGCATGAACGGACAAGTTAAATTTATAGGATTACTGTATTATAGGTTTAAGGAAAATGTTTTAAACTTACTTGACTTGGGCTCTAATTTTATAACTTCCTTGAAAGCAAAAATTCCTTCAATTAACATTATAAACCTCTAACAAAAATCTTTCTCAATATATATAGCATAACTTTTAGTTTAACAGATGACTTGGCTTAAAGTTTTATTAAAGAAACAAAAGCAATTTAAATTTTCTAACAAATTGCAAATTATAGAGCCGGGCGTGATGGTGCATGCCTGTAATCCCAGCACTCGGGAGGCTGAGGCAGGAGGATCACTGTGAGTTCGAGACCAGTCTTCACTGCATAGTGAGTTCCAGGTCAGTCTCAACTACATAGTGAGAACCTGTCCCCAAAATCCCACCCGCACAAAAAAGCAAATTATAGCTCTTCCTGTAAGTGGCCAGAGGTGACCTGTGAAAATGGTTTGCTACTCTTTTGACCCAGAAAACCCCCAAAAATCATGCAAATCAAGAGGCTCAAATTTTTGTGTTCACTATAAGAACACCTGTGAAACTGCCCAGGCCATCGGGGGTCTGCATATCCGGAAGGCCACCGAGGACCTGAAGGGTCTCACACTAAAGAAGCGATGTGTGCTGTTCGGCTTTACAGCAGCGGAGTTGGTAGGTGTACCAGGCCTGACACTTGGGCTGGACACAGGGCTGATGGCCCAAAAAGAGTGCTGAATTTTTGCTGCCTGTGCTTAAAAATGCAAAGAGCAAATTATAAATGGGAAGAAATGGTCAAATGAGAAGGTGAACAAGGGGAGGGGGAGGAAGAACAGAAAGAAGGGGCACAAGAAAAAAAATGGAAACAAAGCTTTTGTACATAAGGAGAGGAAGAGAGATGGACAGGAGGGGGGAATGAAAAAAAAAAGAAGCAAGATAGATCATGGACAGGTACAAATTCCCTAAAATGAATGTTACCATTATGTATATCTAAAAGGTACCAATAAATGTTTTGAAAGAAAAATTTGCAAATTAGAACTAGTTTTTTAGGCCAAGGATTTAGCTCAGTGGTGCAAGGTCCTGAGTTTGATTCCCCAGATACCAAAAAAAAAGAAAGAAAAAGTCACTTCTTGCTCTTCCTGATTTTCTTCTGAGTTATAAACTTTAAAGTGTTTAAGATGGAAATATAAACTATATTCTATATTGAAGAGTTAAAAAGAAAGTCTGTATTGACTGAATAATTTTTCAAGTTTGCATTTGTTACAGCAGGAACAGTACCTCAGGACTATACTTAACCTGGAATTAGTAACCTGTGGTATTACTCACCTTCTAATGTTTTAATTCCTTCATCTACAAACTTCCTTGCAGCAGATGGACTATAAAGAAACAAACACATTATTTCAATATCAGGTGAAACTCAAGGTTTTGTAACAACCAAATGTCTTCTCTGTCAAACATAAGAGTTATTAAGATAAACAAGACCTGCTAAAATGGTTACTTTAATAATGTTCAATTTTATCCTAAGAATTTTTGAAGTTTTAATTATTAGGAAGATAACCATGCATGTGGGCATTAAAAGACATCTAAGCAGCTAGCCATAATAATGGCCATATACTGTACAGATTAATAAACACTTGAAAACTGTTTATTCACTCAACTAAGATCAACTGAGGAACCTATTACATGACAAATACTCTGCTGAAGATACAGCATAAATAAGGCAAATAACAATCTTGGACTTTATCCACTTATATCCAGTAGTCTTGAGTTCCCAAGGAATATGCCCATTCTCAGTACACTATGTTTAAGAATTTATAACACTTTAGAATAACTTTCATCAGGGCCAGGGATGTAGCTCAGTGGCACTGCACCTGCCTGGCAAGTGCAAGGTCCTGAGTTTGATCCCTTGTCCAAAAAAAAAAAAAAAAAAAGGAGAGAGAGAGAATAACTTTCATCAGAAATGCAGCCATTTAAACAAATAATCATATACCTTAAAGGAATGCCTTATTTCATAAAGATGAGATGTAAGTAAAGCATTATGGCCTTAATATTTCAATGTTAATCTTCTTTGTCCAGTGTCAAAGAAGCTACTTTTTCTGCAGTGCAAATTTTAAGATAAAGATTTTTTCATTGAAAACTGAAAGCTTGTTCTAAATTATATGGTGCTATAAGCGCTTAAGATAAACAACTCAGAGAAGCAGATGAGGCATGACATACAGTAGGCAGTAAAATGTACTCAGCAAGTGGAGTTTAGAGGAAGAGATTGTTCCTGGCTGGAGAGTCAGAGTGGTTCATGAAGGAGGTGACACTTGCCTGGTATATGCTTTTACAGTGAAGGTAGCATCTGATGATTACCCTTGGACAATAAGGAAGGGTACATTGTATGGAAGGTGCATGGTATGGGCAAAGGTAAAACATAGAATACAGGTTTTGAAGGGAAACAATTTCTAAGTTTATAAAAGCTCAGGCTTTACAGAGAAACAGTACGTTGGCTGCCTGCAATAAAAAATAAAACCAGGTCCGGGGATTTTAGCTCAGTGTTGCTGCTGCCTGCCTCGCAAGCACGAGGTCCCAAGTTTGATCCTCAGTACCAATTAAAAAATAAATAAAACTAATATACAACTGTGTCCACTTAATAGTTCTTACCCAATGCCACTAACTCGAGTTAAGAAATTGATAGATGAACTTGTATCATCTTGCCGAATCTAAGGGAAAAAATGGTCAACAATGATTGAAGAATGCTTTGAGAATGTAAATGATCCCACTGGGAATATACCAGTATGCTACGAAAGGTGAAGAGCCATTTACATTTGCCTAGATAACCCAGACAGAAGTATTCATATTTAATACAGATAGTTACAGGTAACAGAGCAGCGAAGGGAGTCCCATCTCTGATTTATTCAATGCTTTCCAAAATTTTTGGCTGGGGTATTGCTCAGTGACAGAGCACATGCTTAGCATGGATCAGGCCCTGGCTTCAATCCCCCAGACCAAACAAATAAATTTCTTTTCCTTTAAATTGACAGATTAAAAAAATATATATACAGACCAAGCCTGCTCCCGACCCAGCCGCCATCGCTCAAGCGCCAGGAAGGTAGCCGCGCGGGCGCCCCTGAACCCCCATAAGCCCCCCCACACACTCTCAGACCTCCTGACTGTGCAAGTCTTTGGACCCACTCTGCAAAGACAGAGGTGGTCATCAAGGGTATTTTTCTGAGTTCCCAACTTTGAACATCTTTAAAGAAAGGGCAGGGAAACCTGTAATAGAACGTTGTGGAGTTCAACCATTCAGAAGGATGGGGAACTCAATCTGGGCCTTGCGGCCCGAGGTCAGTCAGCATCATGGGGTTCAGCAATCAGCTAACTGAGACCAGGGGTCTTCTATCCTCGCTCTGTCTGAGCCATTAAATTGTTAATATACTGTATTGAAAAGTTTGTTCACTGCAGACATGTTCTGGACTGCTTCTTGATTTCAATTTAATTCAAATGATTTAAGGGTGATAGACTAGTGACTACCACAGGTGGTCAGTGTCCAAGTTGTGCTTGATCTTAATGTGTTACTGATTGTATCAGTTGGGGTAAAGCATTGCCGTTGATTTGATGAGCTGTTTTCTCTGATGTTATGAAGATGAGAATGTCCGTGGGTCGTTAGAGACACAGAAGCTAGGGTGCAACTATATCAGGAAGATTTGGGTGATAATCCAGAGATTACACCAAGGACAGTCCAACAACAAAATTTAAAATGAGAAAACACTTAAGCAAGACACAAGGGCAGACTTCCAGTTTACCAATGGCAAACAGTAGGGCAAATGAGGATGAAAAGGCTGATAGTGAACCACCAGAACACCCTGAACTCAAAGCACAGGAAGTAACAAAACAGATCAATCAGGCTCTAGAAAAATTCAAAACAGAAATAATTTCCCAGATAACCATAGAGATAGTGAGCAAAATGGAAGTCGTGATTCGAGACTCTAGAGCAGAAACTGACAGAAAAATAGATGAGCTCAGGACCATGATAGAAGTCATGAAGGCCCAGCATAAGAAAGAAATGGAAAAAATAAACGCCCAACATAGGAAAGAAATGGAATCCATAAAACAGATTCAAACAGATATCCAGGAGATTAAACACTCTATTGAAAGTGTACGCAACAGAATAAAAGAATGCGAAGATAGGCTCTCAGATATAGAAGATAAGATTGCAGTCAGTGACCATGAAAAGAGAGGTCTCTTAAAAACAGTAAGAGATCATGAGAAATCGATCCAACAACTCCTAGATGATGCAAAGAAGAATAACATAAGACTGATAGGAATACATGAAGTAGCAGGAGAAAATACAAATGACTTAAAAAAGCTGTTTGCAGAATTAATGACAGAAAACTTCCCAAACAGAGGGGAAGAATTTGACATTCAGATAACTGAGGCATATAGGACCCCAACTAGCTACAATCAAAAAAAATCTACACCTAGACATATAATAATCAAGATCCCAGAAACCCAACAGAAGAACAAAATACTACAAGCAGTAAGAGAAAAGAAACAAATCACATACAAAGGAAAGCCCATCAGAATCACAGCAGACTTTTCAACACAAACCCTTGGGGCAAGGAGAGCCTGGAATGAGATATTTCAAGTACTAAAAGAGAACAACCTCCAACCTAGACTGATGTATCCAGCAAAACTCTCTTTCAAAATGGATGGGGAAATAAGACACTTCCACGACAAAGAACACCTGAGAAACTACATGAATACCAAACCAGCACTACAAGCAATTCTAAACAAGATCCTAGAAAAAGACAATGAAGGCAACAACACCATGAGGCCCAACAGAGCAAATCAAATAGGAAAGGCAAGAAATTAAAAGGAGGTGAAAAAGTAAAAAGAGTCAACAAAAGGCCAATAACATGTCAATAATAAGTCAGTACATATCAGTTATAACCAGCAATGTCAATGGCCTCAACTCACCAATCAAGAGAAATAGACTGGCAAAATGGAATAAGAAGCAAAATCCAATAATATGTTCTATACAAGAAACACACCTAGTGCAAAAAGAAGCCCAGAGACTGAAAGTGAAAAGATAGAAAACAATTCTCCATGTGACAGGAGCCCAGAAAAAAACAGGGGTAGCAATCTTATTTGCAGACAAAGTAAATTTCAAACCAAAACTGAATCTAGTATTATTGATGTAGGACAGTACTGTATCATACCTCTATGAATGTAAAATATCTAGTACCTGCTTTATGATACATAGTAGGGACCATGCTTTATCAGAGCTACATTTAATGATATTACTCTAGAATGTTCTCTTTCCAGATGATGATTAAGAGGCTAATAGAAAAAATGGTGCCAGGTACCACAACAGCAACAGAACTTGGCTGTTGTCTGGATATTATTCTTTTCTTTGTTTTTTTTTTTTTGTTTTTTTTTTAATGGAATGTGCCGAATGTCTATAATTTTGTTCAGATGACTGCAGAACCTGGAAAAGCTGTTGCTGCTAT